CAGAATGCCCAGATATTTGTTTACATATGGAATCTAAACCCCATTAAATTGACAATCAAGTTTAGCCATTACATTATTACTGTGAGTGTGAGGCTGGCCTGAGCTGTATAGCCAAATACCAGGGCCAGCCAGGACTACATGGCAAGACTCTAAAAACAAAAACAGGTGGGGAGAGAGATAGGGATATGACTACAGCTCAGCTGGTAGAGCTTGACTAATATGCATGGAGACTTGATTTCAGTTTCCATCAAAAGATGGTATATTTTTGCCAGGCAGTAGTGGTGCATGCCTTTAGTCCTAGCACTTGGGAGGCAGAGGCAGATCTCTGTGAGTTCAAAACCAGTCTGGTCTACAAGAGCTAGTTTCAGGACATGCTCCAAAACCACAGAGAAACCCTGTCTCGAAAAACCAAAAAGAGACAGAGAGTAAAATTGATGGGATATTTTACTGCACTTGGAGGCTAGGTTACGACCCAACAAGCTCTATCAATCCCTCTATCAGCATATTAGACGGCTTTAGAGTTGCAGGCATGTGAGTGGCCATGCTCAATTATTATGTGTATGGTGGGGGACAGAGATTTGAACTCGGGTTCTTATGGTTGCATAGCAACTGCTCTTACTCCCTGAGCCATATCCTTAGTCCATGAATTATACTTCAAAAATATGTTTATTATTACTGAGTAAGGAAGCATGTGACACAGTGGGTATGTAGAGGTAAGGGGACAACTCTAGAACAAGCTCTCACTTTCCACCTTTATGTGGGTTCTGGTGATTAAACCCAGTTGGCAGGCTTTCACAATAAATATTTTACCCAGTGAGCCATCTTGCCAGCTCTCATGAATTATACTTCAATTTTAAAAAATGTCTGGGCAGTCATGGCTCAAGTCTTTAATCCCAGCACTCTGGAGCCAGAGGCAGACAGATCTCTGTGAGTCCCAGGCCAGCCTGGTCTACAGAGGGAGTTCCAAGACAGCCAGGACACCCAGGACTGTTACACAGAGAAACCCTATCTTGGAAAGCAAAACAACAACAAAAACAAACAAACAACAACACAAAATCCTAAGTCTTTGGGGCTAGAGAGCTGGTTCAGTGGTTAAGAGCACTGGCTGCTCTTCTAGAGGACCCAAGTTCAATTCCCAGCACCCACATGGCAGCTCACAACTATCTATAAGTCCAGTTCCAGAGTTCTGACACCTTTATACCAATGCACATAAAATAAATAAGTTAAATAAATTTTTTAAATGTCTGAGTAAGCCAGGCATAGTGGTGCACACTTTTAATCCTAGCACTCTGGAGGCAGAGGCAGGTGGATCTCTCTGTGAGTTCCAGGTCAGCCTGGTCTACATAATGAGTTCCAGGACTGTCAGAGCTACATAGTGAGACCCTGTTTGGAAAAAAACAAAACAAACAGAAAAATAAATAAGATGTCTGGAAAGATGGGTCAGTATACAAAGGGCTTGCCAAGAAAGCATGAGGACTGAAGTTTGGATCTCTAGCCACCACGTAATTACTGGGGGTAGCCTGCCTGTAATTCCACTGCTAAGGACAGGGGATCCCCATAGCAAGCTGGCTAGGTAGGCTAGCTGAATTGTCAAGCTCTGGGTTCAAGTGAGAGACCCTGATTCGATATATAAAGTAGAGAGGCACGTGACATCAACCTCTGGCCTCTACACTTACATGCACAAACATGTACAGGTGTACCTGCACACATATACACCTCTACACAAATATGCATACATACACACACATATCCATGCAGAAAAATTTAACTGGGATTCTGAAAATTTCCGTGTCATTGCTACTCTAATGTAAAGCTTTAATGAAATAATTGTAGAAGTCAATACATATAAAATGGATTTCAGGACTGGTGAGGTAGCCCAGTGGTTGAGTATGTGCCTAGCATGAACAAGCCATAGGTTTGGTCCCCAGTATAGAAATCAAACAAAATGGAAAAAATGGATTAGGAAGATATTTCAACTCTTACTATAATTGAGATGACAGAACAACTAACTAAGTACAGTGAGAAAGAGATTATAATAGGCTGGGAGATGGCTCTGTGCTTACTATTCAAAAGCCCAAGCCTGAAGACCTGAGTTCAAATCACAGAAACAACCCAAAAGCCAGACATGGTACCTAAAGTTTCTCTAATCTCTACCCCCACCCCACCCCGGGAGACAGGAAAACCTCAGAAGCTCCCAGGGCCAACTAGGTTGGCTTACACAGTAGCAAAGAGTTGTCTTCTGATCTCCGTACCTGTGGATGAGTGCTTGTACTCACACATGAACCCATTCATCCACATGTGCCATAGCACAGACACAGTAAAAATGAAAAAAAATATCCATTACTAATTAAAGTCTTCTAGATCTAAAACAACTTTAGGTGAGGGTGAGGAAAAAGTAGTGCCTTATTAAATACATTTTTCAATACTTGATCATAAACCAGAATCACAACACTATGGAGACATTTTAAGAACACAGAAATCTTACAAGAATGTTGTTATGGGGCTAGAGAGATGGCTCAGCAGTTAAGAGCACTAGCTGCTTTTCCAGAGGACCCAGGTTCAGTTCCCAGAACCCACATGGCAGCTCACAACCTAATGTAACTCCAGTTCCAGGATATCTGACACTCTCACAAAGACATACATTCAAAAACAAAAACAAAACAAACAAAAAACCCCACAACAATAAATAAATATTCTAAAAAAGAGTAGAACTATTATGGCCTCATTTTATCATAAACAGTTCTGTACTCCCTCCAAAATTGCTGGGACGGGAACTCATGTCCTGTTTATCCTTGAGCCTATGCTACCCAGCATTACACAATGATTTAACAACAAACTCAAGACATTTCATTGAAGGCCAACTTTACCAGTCAGCTATTTTCTTGTTGAAAATGTGTTACTAGCATGTTTTCTCGCCAGCCTGGTCCCAGACCAGCCCCAAATAACACACAGAGATGCTGTATTAGATATAATACTGTTGGCCTGTTACTAGCATTTCTTATTGGCTAGCTCTGTTAGCTCTGTCTTAAATATTAATCCATTCTATTAATCTAAGTATTTCCACGTGGCCTTATCTTACTGGAGAGGACCTAGCATTTGGCTCTCCTGGTCCTACATGTTGAATCTCCTCCAGAATTCTCCTTGTCTCCTAGTCCTACCTATCTTGCTTTCCTATTGGCCAATGGGGCTTTATTCATTACCAATAAGAGAAACATATTTACAGAATGACATCTCCCATAAAAAATGTCAACCAGTTCAGTTTCAAAGTGATATAACAAGGCCATGTTGTATGTCTAAGTATAAATCATCAAGAATTACTGAGGTTTTAAAGTGGATGTTATTTCAGCTTGTATTCTTACACAAAAGTTTAAAGTTTTACTGCTTTGGTGAGAATATTTCATTTCCTGGGTATGTGTACAAATCAAATTCTTGAATTTGAAATGTTTTTTTTGGCCCATAATGAATAGTAATTCCTATTTGAACAACCCAGGCACAATAAGTAAATAATGAATGAGCTGTTTACCTACAACATTGTCAAGGACCAAGATTCTTTAATTCAGCCATTCTATCATATTCTACACAAGACATGGCAATGGCATCTCGTTGGAGATTTCAACTTGCAAGAATGCTTTATGTAAGCTGGGCAGTGGTAGTGCTTGACTTTAATCCCAGTTCTCAGGAGGCAAAGACAGGCAAAAATCTGTGAGTTCGAGGGCAGCCTGGTTTATAGAGTGTTCCAGGATAGATTCCAAAGCTACAGAGAAACCCTGACTCGAAAAACCAAAAAAAAAAAAAAAAGAATGCTTTACACAAATACCATTTTGTTAGCAAGAATCAGCACCTTCACTACCCATTAGTTCTGCCTCCATGAAGCTGGGAAACATAAGAGAACTTGCCTAGGGCTTTCAGAGAATGTTTTTACGTAACCAGGAAAACTCTGAAAGGAGAGGCCCAGAATTCCATTATCTATTATGGTCACAACAGGGAAGTGACTTGCTCAGTTAACAGCTAGTCAGTGGCAGAGCTAGGCCTTTTGAAAGTTGGGCCTTCTAAACACAGGTCTTCTCTTTCTGCAGCACTCTCTACTTCTCCAAGTGGGAAAGACTTCAGAGGTATGCTTTGGTTTTCCACTGGAGAATGAGAGGAAGGAGGGAGGACAACGGAGAAATAATGAAGCAGGCAATCACAGGAGATGCATTAGAAGGAAGTGAGTCCAACCACTCTCACTCTTTCCAAATACCCTTTAGAATGGCAACAAGGATCACAAGTTACCTAGGTCCTGTGTATGTAACCATCATGTTGGAAAAATAAACACATCAAATAAATCTAATCATTTTTCAAGTCTGAGGTTCTGACAGAGGAGCTTAGCCCCTCCCACGGAATCTGTGGCCCCCCTCTTTCAATACATTAAATGTAACTAAACCTTGGGATCTGAAGAAGCCCCAGGGCATTGGGAGAGAAGGCTTGTCACTATAGGCGGGTCGCTCAGGTTCGGCTACGGAAAGGCGGAAGCCTGCGGTGGAGCTGTGGTTGGGGGGATGTGGGTTTTGTGGCTGAACTCGATGTTGGTGTAGAAAACCAGGGGAGACGACGGCAGAGTGGAGTTCGCCCGCCCAAGAGGGGTGCGGAGAGGCTGAGAGCGCTACAGAAATCTCCCAGAGGTGCTCAGCCAGGGTCTCCAGTACCAGGACGAGGGCGGGGCCCCTCTGGAACGCCAGCGATTGGATGCTCCCTAAGTCCCGCCTTCCCGGACCCTTTCCCTGAGGCTCCGCCCACAGCGCCAAGCGCGCGCCTCGGGAGCCGGGAGGGGTCGGGGCGGCGGCGGCGGCGGCGGGAGGAGAGGTGAGGTTCCGGCACGCGCCCCACTCGCTGCGAGAACGCGAGCAGCGCGCTCCCGCGCCCCGCGTCGCCATCTTTTTCCCCCTCCGTCCGTCTGTCTGCTGTTGGCTTTGTCCGTCCGCCGCGCCGCGCCGCCCCTCGCCTCCCTGCCGCCGGCCCGGCACGCAGCCACCCTCTGCCAGCCGGGATCCGGTCCCGGAGAGCCCCGGCCCGGCCAGCCCGAGCTGCGGCCGGGGCCCATTGTCCCGCGGTCTGTCTGTCCGGAGGCGGGGCCCAGGGACGCGGAGCGCCGAGGCAGCGGGTAAAGCGCCCCCGTACCGGGAGCCGGCAGCCAGTGTAGCTCCCGCCGCCCCGCGCCGCCGTCCACCTTTTGTCTGCTGGCGCCTGGGGAGGGGTGGGCTCGGTGCTGCGATGGCTGGGTGCGGGCCTCGCGGCCGGCGTCTGACAGACTGGGGTGGAGCTGGGGGAGGGGAGGATGGGCGTGGGAGAGCGGACGGGGCGGGGGGCACGGGTCGTCCTGGCACGGGCGGACGCAGGAGCTACTAAATTTAGATTTCAGAGAAGGCTAAGTGGTCTGAGGGTTTGGTCTGAGCCGCCTCGGGAGACCTGGCTCCAGTCTAATACCTGGGATTTACCTGTGCTCCCGTTCGAGAAATCCAGAGGGACCATCTCAGTTGATGGCACACATGAGCTCCAGCCGCGACCCTAGAGGATCCGAGGACAGTAAAACGGCTGTGTGACCGACCACCTCTCTTCTCTCCGTTTTGGCAGATTCACATCACTCGGATTCGGGCGAGTTTACTTTGCTCCGTGGGAACCACACCAGAGCTGGAGGTGGGAATGCACCCTCTTTACACACACACACACACACACACACACACACACACACACACACCATCTGTACTGTGCCCTGGAAGCTACATCCCTCTTTACACACACACACACACACACACACACACACACACACACCATCTGTACTGTGCCCTGGAAGCTACATCCTAACACCTGTGGGAGGGCAGAGACAAGGATGGGAGGGGGTGGTGCACCTTCCCAATACTCTGACTGTGGCTCTATAGATGACAAAAGTGCTCCCTTTAAAAGTAGCATCCCTTGTAGGTCTGATCCTCAGTTTACCGATCTTCCCATTCCAGTTTCCTTCCAGCTGAAGAGGTTCAGGAAGCTAGCTCTCCAGTTACATCCCAATCTTACGTTTCACATTTGGGCACCGCTGAAGTTAAAGGGGACCAGGTGACCTTTTAGACAACTTACCCTCAGGTTTTGTTTTGTTTGTTTTAGTAGGGTTGCTGCCATAAAACTAACCTTAAATACGGTGCTGTTTGGGTCAGGAGTGCCCTTCCAGTGCTGTTTGTCTGTTTCTTATTTATTTTCAAGGGTTTCCCCCACCTCCAGACTTTTTCTTTCTGGTGGGTGTTTTAATTATTGTGGCTTGGCTTTGTTTTGTGGGAAGGGAGGGTGTGTGTTTATTTTTCCTTTGATTCTTCAGGTGTGAAGTCCCATGAGGTACCATCTGGTCAGTTCCCCATTGGGCCACTGGGAGGATGGAGAAACAGTGGATGCTGCTGCCTTTATATGCAGCTCTGTCACTGCATATTTAACCTCTTTGCCTTGTAGCTTTAGTATTGACCTGTTGTCTTACTAAAATTATCTAAATAAAGCCTGACTCAAGGATTTGGCATTCCTTCAAGTAGATTTTATTATCTCTTTCTCGGAGCTTCAATTCCTGATCTTCCTGGGGGTAAATGTAAATGAGATTTAATTGGTTTTCATTATAAAATGGAGAAGTGTAGAAAAACAGACGATCTGTATTTCATTCATCTTTCTACTTTGGGATTCTGTAGACAAAGAAAAGATCTAAAGTGTGGTATTCATTCTCAGCTTGTATTAAAATGTTTAGAAAGAATTAACCAGGTATAGCTGTGCACATCTCTAATTCCAGTAGTCAGAAGGCTGAGGCTGAGGGTTATTTGAGGCCAGGAGTTTAAAGTTGAGGCACAATCTCCAAAAAGAGTATGAGCAGCAGGAAGGAAAAGACAGAAGAGTGACTACCCCCTACAACTGGGGTATAGCTTAGTTGGTAGAGTGCTTGCCCAGTATGCACACAGTCCTACCTAGCATGCACAAAGCTTTAGATTCAGTCCCCAGCACCACATAAAACTGGGTAAGGAGGCAACTGCCTGTATTCTCTCGAGACAGGAATATCAGAAATTCAAGGTCATTCTTTGCTACTTAACCTAATTCAAGACCAGTTAAAGATACATGAAACTCATATTTCCAAGGGGGAGGGAGAAAAACACAGATAATACATACCTTTTGTATTAGCTATCAGTATGCTGCTGTCTAAAAAATTTTTTTTCTCTATTGTACATATTAGGAGTTATTTTCCTTTTTTTAATTGAAGGTCTGAAAAGAAGTGTGTTTGGTATGCAGATATGATAGAAGACTGCCTGAAAGCTGCTTCCTTTGCCACTTCCTGTGGAGGCCTGTCTTTGCCATTTGCGGTTTCTTTCTTCTTTTGGTAAGGGGAGGCAGGATCTGATTACAGGTCTGAGGGCCTTTCTAGCTACATAGAGGAGTTAGTTGGATTAGCAGGTGAGTCTTCATTAACTAGAGTGCAAAGTACAACTAGTAGCTTCTCTTAAAGCAGCAAACTATGTAATTTCTATATGTGAGTGCAATTTAAGAAGGCAGTAACTGAAAGGAATCGGGGAATGACTAAATGCAGTTTTCACTTTATCTTTTCACTCTGATGTCTGTCTACCTGGTTTTATGGTGTTGGGAATTGAATCCAGGGTCTGACAATGCTAAGCAAGTGCTCTACCACAGTATCTACCACATCCCCAGCCATCACTCTGTCTTTTATAGAAAAGGCCACAGCTTCTGCAACTAATCCATTTCAGAGCCTCTTACAATGCTTATGACTGAACCAGTCATAGTTAATAAAGAACCTTCAGGCTTAAGAATTTGCCTGCCCCTGTGTTGGGGGGCAGACGCACATCTTTGCTGCTCTTCTCCTATAGGGAACGTTTCTTATTTTTTCTTGGTCCCCTTGTTATACAGCAGGATTGAGAAAAGGCTATAAAATTATGATCTTTGACCACCTCTCCAGAACAAATAAGCAGGGCCAGTTAGTGTTCCACATCAGGAGGCTGAATAAGTGTTGCACGATTTGGATGCCATCTACTCTTCTGATGAGAGCCTGTCTTAAGTGGTAGAAGTTTGACTGCTCTGGTGCCATCATGCTAGGTGCCTGGGAGTGCATTACAGATTTGTGATAACCTTTGTTACCTTTAAGTACTGTTTCTTAGAAAACCATCCAGAGGTACAGATTTCAAGCCTTGACCTCCACATGTGACAGGTCAGCTGCTACAGGTCTTCGTCATGCTTTTGCTTTCTCTCACATCTATGGGAGTCATCTCTTTAACCCATATTACTTCTAACCTCGATTGTCTGAATTTGCATCCTTTTCTGTCCTATGATCTTCACTGTGACCACTTAGTAGTAGTCTGAATTCCAGACAGCTTTAGAGAATTCTCTTTAAGTCCTGTAAAAGTACTTGCCTCTTAAGCTTCTTGGGACCTTGACACTGGGTTAGAGATTTATTTACTTTTTTAAAATTTCATTAGCTCAGTTATTTATATCTGGTGAGTTTTATATGCTCAAGGTATTTTTAAGGTCTTATTTCTAATTTTGTAATTTCTGGGGAGAATAACAGGCTAACAATGTCTTTTTTTTTTTTTTTTTTTTTTTTTTTTTTTTAATCTATTTTTATTTTTGCAGGTTAGCAGACTACAAGGAGATAGTGACATTTCTGGTGGTGAAACTGGGAAAGACCAGAGCTTTTATATCAGGGAAACATGTCCCGTAGGAAACAGACAAATCCAAATAAAGTTCACTGTGAGTACTGGGCTTTATCCTCTGGAACCTGGGAAGATGAGGGTCAGAATGAAAGAGAAACCTAAATTTAGGGTGAGAGGCTCACTCTCATTTGGAGAAGAAAGGGTTAAAGGCTTAACATATTTGGATCTGAAGTGTGATGTCTAACTTGTCTAAGGGGTATATGCATTATTCATTCTTAACAATTATAGGAAAGTTTATTTTGTGAAAATAATATGCTAAGTGTTGGCTATAAAACAGTATAACATAATTAAAATGCAATCCAGCTACACATAAACACAGAAGAAACACAAAAATACAAGCTAGCATATACTATATGCCTCAGAGGGGTACTATTGACTATGTATACCACAAAAGTTAAAAGCAGTTAGGACAAGCTGAGCAGTGATGATGAATGCCTTTAATCCCAGCACTAGGGAGGCAGAGGCAGGTGGATCTCTGTGAGTTCAAGGCCAACCTGGTCTACAGAGAGAGTTCCAGGACAGCCAGGGCTGTTACACAGAGGAACCCTGTCTCAAACAAACAAACAAAAATGTAGGACAATTTTGCTGGCTGCTGTAGCAGTAGAAGGCTTCATAGAAGAAGGCCTAAACCATGGGCTTTAACAAGGCCTCAAAGGGTGAAAGGTAGATTTGGACAGAAAGAAAGGGAGTGCATGTGATCTGTTAGAGTATAAGGAAACTTGTTGCAAGCAGAAGTTTTATTTGTTCAAAGTCACAAGCTGTGTAACCTCAGGGTAAGACCCCATCCAGCTAGAAAAAAAAGACTAAAACAAAGCTTAAGCAATGAAGAAAACCATCAACAACAGGTATCTAATACATATGTAACTGGACAAGCTCTAACCCCATCAAGCAACAGAACTTGGAAGCTTTGGCCACATAGTTCTGGCTTTAGAGTCAACAGGGGTTGTGGAATCTCCCTCAGCTAAGGAAAGCTGCTGAGGCCAGTCATGAGTCAGGGTGTCCCTGCTATGCAGTGAGAAACAGCAGCAAAAACCAAAATCAAAACAGGGCTGGGAGATGGCTCAGTGCTTTGTTGTACAAGCATGAGGATCTGAGTTCAGATCTCCAGAACCCTTGTGAATAAAAATAAAAACAAAAAATGAGATGGTTTAATGGGTAAAACATACCTGGTTTGAAGGCTGATAACCTAAGTTTGATCCCTAGGACCAGCATGGTGGAAGGAAAAAAACAACTCCTGCGAGTTGTCTTTTAGCCTACATACACACTCAAGTATGTGCTTACAGACACACACACTCTCTACATTAAAAAGAAAAAAAGGCTAGGTGTAGTGGTATGAATTTATAACCCCGGTGTTGGGGAAGGAGGTAGAGACAGGCGGATTCTAAAGACTTGGTGGAAAATAATCTAGCTGGCACAGCAAGCTTTAGGTTCAGTGAAATACCTTGTCCAAGAAAAACAAGATAAAGAGCAATAGAGGAAGACACTGACTTCTGGCCTACACACACACACACACAGAATTAATTAGTTACTTTTAAGTTGGGTTTGGGATAATTAACCACTTTTCTAGAATCTGGGTAGAGGAGCATTCTACATAGTAGCAGGTACCCCACCACCCAGCTACAGTCCCACCCTGTGACTTTCTTTTTAAAGAAATAGGTAAACAAAAACATTGGAGATGATTGATTATGTAAGAAATCAAGATGACTGAAATTTTATTGAAAACTGTGTGACCAGAGATGTTATGATAGCTTTGATATCTTAAATTAAAGACATTGGGTAGCAAACCTTCATATGCAATCTTTTAAGTCCCTGAAATATTGAGTAAGATAGAACTAGTTGAGTGCTTCCAGTTGTTATTCTGGGATAGGTAGATTTGCAAAGCTGCTTAATATAAAGCTGAGTGATATAGGAAGATTTAGAAGTGGATGCTGAAGCCAGTCTGAGGTGGCACATGACTTTAATCCCAGCATTCAAGAGGCAGAGGCAGGTAAATCTTTGAGTTTGAGACCAGCCTGGTCTACAAAGCTAGTCCCAGGACAGGCTCCAAAACAGTACAGAGAAGCCATGTCTCGAAGAAGAAGAAGAAGGAAAAAAAAAAAAAAAAAAAAAAAAAGTCAGCCCTGAGGGAGGAACTATTTAACTATTTTTAGTGATAGATTGGGCAGAGATAGTCTTATTAAGTGATGAGCTAAGTTTGGTCAAAGAAAACAAAACACTACGATCTGCTGGTTTCCAAATACCTTTTATTTATTTATGACTTGGGTAATGAAGCTGACCCTATCCTTTTCAAAACAATACCTTCTCATCGTTCATGACAATAATGACAAGTAAAGTAGGTAATTCTAGTTTTTTGACAACTTGAATCTCCTCTCATCTGACATAAAGCTAATTAGACATATTAAACTTAATGCTGCTTGTTTATTAATAGTAAATGTGATGGATTCAAAGTCTAGGTTTGCATTTGAGCAGAGAAGTGAGTTTCATTACTTCAGCCTTCTGGAAAAAGTGGGTGGCCTGAAACTAAAAGCATCCAGAAGTGGGCTGGACAGTGGCAGTGCACGCCTTTGGCACCAGCACTTAGGAGACAGAGGCAAGCGAAGTTCTGTGAGCTCGAGGCCAGCCTGGTCTACAGAGCAAGTTTCAGGATAGATTGTACAGAGAAATCCTGTCTTGAAAAACCAGAAAATAAATAAGTAAGAATTTATAAAAGTAAAATAAAAATAAAAGACTCCCAGAGGCTGGCATATAGTTTGATGGTAAAATGCTTGCTTCTGAATGCTCTGTGTTCTAACCCCAATACCAACAAAAGAAAGAGAGAAAAAGGAAAATATTTAAATCCCACTATAAAACTAGGGAAGTAGCTCAGTTGATAGAGTGCTTGCCTATCATGCATAAAGCCCTGATTTGAACTTCAGCACTGGGACTTAATCTTAATACTGGGAATGGCAAAGGCAGTAGGCTCCGGAGTTCAAAGTCATCGTTGGCTTCATAACAAGTTTGAGCTGGTATGAAGTACTTGACTCCCTGTTTCTGGTTTGTTTGCTTGTTTTAATCTTGAATTTTTTTTTATGTGTATGGGTGTTTTGCTTATATGTCTATGGAACCACATGCATGCCTGATGCCCTCAGAGGCCAGAAGAGGGCATCAGATCCCCTGGAACTGTCATGTGGTTGCTCCCATTGAATCTCCAGAGTGGCCAGTGCTCTTAACCACAGCCATTTCTCCAGCCTTGAAAGAGTCTTTAAAAAAAAAAAAAAATTGATTTGCATGGGATAGCCAGGTACTATTTTAGTACACACTTTGTTTTCATATTTAATGCATCCTGTCAGCCCATTCTCATCTCCTTAGCAGACTCAATGCAAAATTTTAGAATTAAAAATCCAGAATTACTCATTATAGAGAAACTACTGCTGGACTGAAACCTTGTGTTTTAGACCTTCTGCTATACCTGCTTTTCCATTTCTCTCCTTTCTGAGGACAAGTCTGTCAACTGTCTGTAAAATTTGAATACAGTCCTTTGTATACTCACATTTCATGTGGTGGAAATCATGGAAGCCACCAAGAAAAAGGCTTTTCTTAAACTTTTGCTTTCAGATTGCAAGATACCAAGCCTGGAAAGCTTCAGCTGAAAGCTTTTCAGAGCTGAAAAGGTGTCAAAGTCCTTTGTTTTCTGAGAAGCCAGGGAGCTTTGTTTCAGTTCATGCTGCTAACATTCCTGGGATGTAAGTGCTGCTCCCAACATAGACAGCACCTGTCTATACAGACTGCCATCTGGGAAGGCACCCGAAGGGCCTTCTCGAAGTACTGCTGCTTTTTCTGAACAGACATCTGCTCACTTAGAGAACATTCAACTGTGTGATTTCAAGCAGCCCAGAATTGCATTTACTAAACTGTACTAAGGACCTGAAAGAAAAAGAAATCTTTGTCCTTCTAAGAATTTTACCTTGGTCTTATCATCTTTTTCTAAACTGGCTTTCACTGCCTTGTTCTTCACTAGTCTGAATCCCGAGGCAAAAGTGAGATTAAAAACTCTTTGCATTTCATACCAAGTTTAAAAAGACAAAAAGGAAAGAAAGGAGTACCTAGATATCATTGTGGAACCTGGCTATTAATAGGCAGATAAATGCCCACATTTAATAAGGTGACATAATTCTACATTATAAAAATAGGCAATTCTAGAACGTTTCTTAATCACTAGTATTTGTGTGCATCATACTTGAATTAACATGTATAACATTTTAAAAGTTTTACATTTGTTTTGTGTATGGGGTAAGGGAGGACATGCCACAGCACACACCTGAAGATCAGAGGACAGCTTCCAACTGTGAATTCTCTCCCTAAACTATGTAGATGCCAGGGTTGAACTCAGGCGTGGTGGAAAGTGCGTTTATCCACTGAGCCATCTCAGTAGCTCCAGGGTCACATATTTTCTAGCAGCTTTCACTTTCTCTCCAGATGATGATTCTAGACAGTTGAATTTGGAGATTAGGTAAAAGTGACCATTGGAAAAATCACTGGCAAGATTCTTAGGAAGTCTGATAAAATCCCCTTTAAGATTTAAAAACACTTTTGTATTATTTTATGGTACTATTTAAAATAGGAATAGCCTTAAAGAATAGTATTTATTTTAGGTGTTTTCATAGTCAGGAATAGATTAAGAGTAGATTGTATTTCTATACTACTGAAAAAAATATTGTATCCCCAAGTTCCCTATCTGGGGTTGCCAGCAAGAATCTTAGTGAGTTATATTGAAGAGATGTCATTCTCATCTGTAAAATTCTGAATATTTAAACTAAAACTAAAACTAAATTCTGAGTTCATGTTAATAAAAATTAAACTGAATTACTGGTTCATTTTGAAAAAATGTATCTGTTTTTAGATTTTTTTTAAAACTTAATTATATGTGTATGGGTGTTTTGCCTTGCATGCCTGTTTTCCATGCCAGAGGTGGGCATTGGATCTCTTGGAACCAGAGTTACAGATGGTTGAGAGCCACCATGTGGGTACTAGGAATTGACTTATGTCTTCTGGAAGAGCAGTTAATGCTCTTTACCATTGAGCCATCTCACCAGCCTCCTTTTAGATGTCTTTCTACTGGTTCAATGTAATAGAAATGTGATTAAAACTTTTTTTTTGATTCATTCCTAGTATGTTATAAATCTAAGCTTCCTTACAAACTTGAAGTGTTATTGATAAGAGATGGTGACAGTAACTGACATTTTCAGTACATGCCAGTATATAATTTATTCCTTAGTGCCAGATTGGTCTCTGGCCCTTAGATCCAAAAACATGAACCAATGTGGAGGAATTCAGTAACTATTACTGTTGGCCATAGTTTTGTTGTTTTAGTGGAATCAACATGGAAAAATGAAATACTTTACTTTTGCAGAGAAGGAAGGGAAAACACTTTGTACAATTTACTTTTTGCTTTCTTTAGCAGTAACTTATAGTCCATGTATTACTTTAGAAATTGTAAACACATGTTGGGCATGATGATGCATACCTGCAATCCCATCACTCAGGAGGCAGAGGCAGGTGTCTGCTTGTGAATTCTAGGCTAGCCTATTCTTCATAATGAGTTCCAGATCAGCCAGAGCTATGTAGAGAGACTTTATCTCAAAAAACAAAGAACAAAAACATGTGAACACAGTCTTAAAGCAACTTATTTTTCCTTTTCTTGAGTTCTGTATACCTAGGAATATACACTTAACACTCTCCACCTCCAATCTTACAGGATGAGTCATAATTGCCATAATGTCAGTTTCTCTAATCCAGGCATGATGACTCATGACAATATCAGAACTATATTTTTCCTTTTGTCACACTGTGGCCTTGAAAACATTTCCATATTTGAATTGTTGCATGATAAGAAGATAACACCAATACTATGATAGAGCCAGTCTTATCACATAGAGATAAGTATTTGTTGTTAGCAGAACTACTGTAAAGCCCCTATAACATTGAATTCATACCTCCATTTGCAGCACATGGGAAGTTTGGATTTTAGGGAATAGGGTTATAGGTCAGTATATTTTTAGCATGTATAAGGCCCTAGGCTTAACCCCTATCACAAGAGAAACAGACACTAAAGTTGAAGAAAAGGGGCCCAGGAAAGACATATAATACTTGGTTTCACCATAGACCTTAGCTTTTTTCTATTTTTAAAAAATGATTTATGTTTATTTATGTGCTTGTGTGTTTATGTACATGTGAGTGCAGATACTTGTGGAGGCCAAAGGTGTTGTATTCCTTGGAGCTGGACCTAGAGGCAGCTGTTTGCCTCTGATATGGGGACTGGGAACCAAATTCTGCAAGAGCAATGGATACTCTTTACTGCTGAGCCATCCCTCCATCATCCCTAGTTAGTATGGATATATGAAAGGTAGGTAGGTAAGAATACCTACCATATAAAGAATCAAGGTGAGGGGACCAGCACGATGCTAGGTGGGCAAAAGTGCTTGTTGTGTAAGCATCACAACTTGAGTTCAATCCCTAGGTCTTCTGTCCTCTGTATATTCACTATTTACATTTATACCTCCCACACATAATAATATAATAAAAAAAATTATAAGAGAGAGAATTAAGGTGAGGACTATATAATACTTACAAAGCCTGGAATAGCAAGTGTCACACAGTAACTATAGTTGTCTTTAGTGCTTAGCATATAGTAGTGCTTAAGGATTATTTGCTGAATGAGTGACCAAGTAAATCATTTGGAGTTGAGCCCCTTCTCAGTTTTCATACTGACCAAGGAACAACTTCCACATCATTGTCTCTCCAAATAGCCTGTTTACTAGCCTTTCCCTTTTCAGTAAGAAAAGTCCTGTTCTGTAGTCAAACATCTCACTAGAGCTTTTGCTTATTCTCCCTTGGTGACTGGGGAATTGGGCCTGTAGTTTCCATTCTCACTGAGATAAGAGAAACCTAACTCTCTTTTCTCTCTATGCCTAGTCATTTGGAAATTAAAAAGCGCTCGAAGGTTAACTCTCCAATAACATGGATCTGGGGCAGAGCTCATGAAAAGTAAATGCAAAATTAGGGATGATCTAGGGTTGCTGGATACTTTATGCAAAAACAAAGGCCACACTGACTCAAGGAGAGTTGGATACATAGTATTTGTTGTAAGTTAGTTGGTGTGTTTCATTCATTCAAGAATTAGTTTTAGGGAGTTTTAATATTGTCTGCATTCCCTTTGCTACCCATCTCATCTGTTACTCAGCCAGTCATGTTTATTATGAATAATTCTGATAACCATTAGAGAAGAGCAAGTATGTCCAAAACATCTTGAAATGAATGAAAAAGATAGGATTAGAGGTTTATTAGGGATTACCTAAAGCATTTGTGTATAGTTTGAATTAGGGCTGTGAGAATACAAGGTTTAAAGAGTTTTGCCCATTTTATTGCTCTGCTTCCATCCCCTCACTTTACCTCTTCTTACCTCTGTATCTCCCCTATCCTGATGGAAGATTACAAAGGAATTGAGATTCTGCAGTTAAGTTTGTAAAGTTATAATTTTCAAGGGCTGGATGGCCTTGAGCACACTAACCGCTCTTCCAAGGGGACCTGGGTTCAATTCCCAGAACCCACATGGCAGCTAATAGTTGCCTGTAACTCCAAGATCTGACACCTCTACACAGACATACATACAGGAAAAACACCAATGACCAATGCAAATAAAATAAAAAAAAAAATCATCTTTTCAAGGGTCAAGAGTAAGGAAGATTTAAGATAACTTATTGCCCAGGAAGAGCAGCTACACTGTTGGAGATAGTAGCATGACTTAGAGATGAATGAACCCAGCACAGGGTATCTGCTTGTCTCCTACCTTAGAATGGTCTGACCTTCCAACTACTTTGTCATGGCATGTACTGTCCAGTTGGTAGCCTGACTGTTTTTCCTTGTGACCACCAGGGGATCAAGTATTTGCTGGGCTAGAAGAACAAGCCCGACAAGCTATGATGAAAACAGATTTTCCTGGAGACCTTGGCAGTCAGCGACAAGCTATCCAACAACTAAGAGATCAGGACTCCAGTAGCAGTGAGTTCTGCACCTTCTGGTAATGACTCAGGGCAATGGGAGAAGAACTAACAGAGTGTATGCTCTGGGGATTGTGTGTGGGGGTTGGGAGGAAGCTCTAAGAAGATGTGTGGATCCCTGGTGTCTGAATATGTTTATTCAGAGAGAGAGGACAGGTTGGCTTGTCATTCTTGTAACTCATGGACTCTAGTAATTGACACAGTGCCATACACAGATAGGTTTGTGGTGGTTGTGAAATAGGACACTCTAATTAGTGTTCAGGCAGCTCATGGGCCAGGTCAAAAAAGGGGGGGGGGAGCTAGAGAAATGGCTCAGCTGTTAAAGGCTAGGCTCACAACCAAAAAAGAAAAAAAAAATGCCTTTGCTTTAGGTCTATTTATTAATAAAATACAAGAGTGGCATTGAATTCTTGCTTGAGGTCCTAGTTTGAATATTGCACAGGTTTGCTTAGTGATGAGATTATGTAGCATATAAAAATGCTGAAGTCCAAGTCTTCCCATTTACGAGGTCAAAAAGTATTTATTTAATATTGCTGGGTGGTGGTGATGTGTGCCTTTAATCCCACCACTCAGGAGTCAAGAGGCAGGTAGATCTCTGAGTTTGAGGTTTATGGAGCACATTCTAAGAAATGAATTCTAGAATTTCTAGAAACCCTATGGAAACACAGTACTTTCTTAACAGGTAAGAGTAGACATCTGCAGGCATCTAGTAGACTACTGTTCCAAAGAGTTACACCATACTTTTTGACAGCATACTTAAAAATAAAAGTTCCTAACAGAGATAATCAGATAATTGACAAGTTACAAAAGTGCATTTTATTCAGTAGTGCCTTAGACTAAGCCTACAAGTGTTCTACACTGGATGCTGGTGAGAAAATGTGTTGTGATCTAATCTGTGCCAACCCTTCATAACTAAGATGGACTCAAGTGAAATAAAGCTTTAAGGAAAAAATACCATATTCTTCAGCTCCCAAATATAGCCTCCCACATGGCAAGCACACCCAATATAGACACATATAGCCACCAGCAGGTGATCTGGTAGGAATTTGTCAATAAAGGACATTTAACCCTGTTTTGTATAGAAAGAAATGATCTTGTACTGTGGATTTAGAAATTATGCAGAACAGTAGGGAAATGAGTAGCATTGTTAGCAAGGAAATGTTAGTCCAAATATATATGCAGAGCTTGGTGAGACTCTACTGACAGGGGAGTCCAGAATCTAAGCAGGCATGGGAGGGCTATCCCCCACGACTGACAGCTTCCCTGGGTGTGGCTTCCTCTATGATCTTTAAAGCTGAACCACACTGAACCTCTTTTGTTATTGTGGGTTTTTGTTCCCCCTCAGTCCTTTTTTCCTCTATTTTACAGATGACAGGCAAAATCAACTCATACATGCCATGCAGATTCATTAGCCATAGGTAGATTACCCCACAACCACATCCTTCCCTCACAAACTAACAGACCAAGTTACTCATGCCTACTTCTTGCACATTTTGTTTTCCGTTAGATAAGCCGAAGAACCAACTGAAACAGTGGATTTATTTAGTTTAAAATGTGCATTACTAGATTAAGAACAGAGTGGGGCTGGACAGTGGTGGTACACGCCTTTAATTCCAGCAGTAGCACAAGGGAGACAGAGACAGGCAGATCTCTGTGAGTTTGAGGCCAGCCTGGTTTACTGAGTAAGTTCCACAAGAGCCTCCAAAACTACAGAGACCCTGACTTGGAAAAACGGAGTGGACAGATGAGCATAGTGGTACATATGCCTTTGATTCTCTCTCTCAAGAGGTAGAAGCAGGCATATTTCTGAATAGAGTTCCAGGACAGTCAGGACTAGAGAGAAACCCTGTGGTGGGGTGAGATAGAAGCAGGGTAGGCACTTGGGAAGCTGGAGCAGGAGGACCATGCACTTCAAGACAGCCTTTGCTGCACAGTAAAACAATCTCCAAAAAGAAAGAAAGGAAACCAGGGTAACCCTGAACACCTTCCATCCTTACAAATATGAACTGCCCAAGGTTGGTTGCTATGCTAATTCCACTTTTCCACTGTAATGTATAGCCATTTCCCTATAAACTGACATAATTTTAAACTAATTTATCTTTATATACTTACTGATAAAAAGAAATACAATTTTGTTATTTCTGGAAGTGTATATTGATGTTTGTTGTGAGAGAAGAGATTAGTGGTCTCGGGTAGAATTGTCAGTGACAGCATGGAGAAATTGTGCAGGTGACTATAGAGACAAGTAATAAAGTAATGAAATCAGGAAGACATGTTGCTAAGTCAGATTGTGTTGCGGGAATGAGTTTGGTGTGATGTGCTTAGGGAAGTATAGTTTCAAGTGTAAAATATTTGAGAACCATAAATAATTATTTTGCTAGGCATGTTGGGAGACAGAGGCAAGAGGATCAGAAATTCAAGGTCATCCTTGAATATATAGTGAGACTGAAGCCAGTCTGGGCTACATGAGACCTGTTTGGTAAACAATTATTTTTATGGTAGTTATTATTTAATGGCTAGTTACCATTTCTAGTGTCAATTTGTCTCACATTGTCCTTTTAGTGTGTAGGTGGCATAATGAATGGCAGTCATAGCAGGTTTTCATTCATCATAGTTTGTGCCCACTAAGCACTGATGCAAACTGTACAACCTGAAGTCTGAAAATGTTTTTTTTTTTCATTGTAGCTGCAAACCCTGGAGTGGACAGCAGCTCAGAATGTATTCCTGTAAAACTCAGAACAAGTGACCAGTTTATGTGTTCCAGGTGACAGTGAAGGTGACGAAGAGGAGACCACACAAGATGAAGTGTCTTCCCACACATCAGAGGAAGATGGTGGGGTAGTCAAAGTGGAAAAAGAATTAGAGAACCCAGGACAGCCTGTTGGTAGTGGGAATGAAGTAGTGGAGCATGAGGCAAGTGGCAAGCAGTCCTCATCACAACCGGTTTTTTCCACCCAGCCCTTAGACCCGTAAATGCTCTCGCCTCTTTCCAAGCAGAGCAGCATCTTAGCAAAGTGAGAATTACTCTAAGAGGTGCTCTGGGGTGTGCTTGCAGGGTTAAGTCAGAGGCAGTGTCCTGTGGAACCAGCTTCCAACAATATGCTTTCCTGAGTATTCGTGCAAGGAACATGCAGAAGGAAAGCTAACCCTGTCCCTGAAGGGTTCAATCTCCTCAGGGTAGAAAGCTTTGAAAATTTAATTCCTTTCAAACAATACTTTATCCTTCAGTCCATACTGGGAAGCAAAGACTAACACCCGGTATAGGGTCTCTATTGGGGCGGGGCAGAGAGGAGACTGGTGAGGAGGCTTCATGATTTGCCTGTTTGGATTTGTAGGTCACAGAAAGCCTAAATTCTGACCCCTTGCTTGAACTCTGCCAGTGTCCCCTCTGCCAGCTTGACTGTGGGAGTCGGGAGCAGCTGATTGCACACGTGTATCAGGTATAGAATGGGGAGGGGGAGTTCTGGGGCTGAGTGCCAGGAGTTTAGATCTCAGGTGCTGCAGTGATCTCTGCCTCTGGCAAAAGCAGTTCTGATTGTTGGTTCTACTAGGACTCATTCCGCCCTTCAGAACATCTTAGAAAATAATGGTGACGTATTAGTTAAATAGGTTCTGAATTCCCAGACAGATACACTTTGGAAATTAAGTATCACGATCTTGTTTTCCTAAATTAATACATTCAGTAGTGAAATAGAAACTGACTTCTATTAACAATGATGACTTTTAAAGGGGGTAAGGTTAACATAAATAGTATAATGTAAGCCAACAAGGCACCTGCCACCAAGCCTTATGACCTTTGACCCACTCAGCAGAAGGAAAACTGATTGCCACTTGTTATCCTCTGACCTACACACACACACTGTGGCATGTGCAGGTACACCACACACAAAATAAATAAAGTGCACAATGACATATTTTGAGGTGCTAGTGAAAGTACAAACGAGGAAAACAGACCATTCCATCCTAATGCAATTAAGAATGTACCTATTCCTAGTGGTCTGTATTTATGAGACAGCCTAAGTTCTACCAAGCTTTATAGATTGTACCTATGAAGACAGTTGGTTCATTAGAAGTATTTCTTCAACTTCGCAGTGGTGCTGCATGCCTTAATCCTAGCCCTTGGGAGGCAGAGGCAGGCAGATCTCTGAGTTTGAGGCCGGCCTGGTCTAGAGAGTGAGTTCCAGAATAGCCAGGGTTACACAGATGAACCCTGTCTTGAAAAACCAACAACAAAAAAAAAGAATTTCTTCAGAGGACTAAAGAAAGGCAGGCCATAATACCTGTTACATACTACTACTCCTATCTAGCTCCTTCATTGTACTCTTAAAATGTACTTGTAACTACACAATATGAGCCAGGAAAGCATGAATCTCTCAGGCTCTGAGGACGACTCTGGAACCCCATTATTCTTCAAGCCATTCATATGTCCCAGAGTATGGTCAGAATTCACAATAATAAAATATGAGCAGTGGTCTGAATGGTTAAACAAATAGTTGCAAGTCTCTCATTCTAAGGGAAAAAAGGAAAGGGTGCAGACTGTCCTGGAGGTAACACAAAATTAACAGATTAAGGTGTTGTTTTACAGCATACTGCAGCAGTGGTGAGTGCCAAGAGTTACATGTGCCCTGTCTGTGGACGGGCCCTTAGCTCCCCAGGGTCCTTGGGTCGCCACCTTCTTATCCATTCAGAAGACCAGCGGTCTAACTGTGCGGTGTGTGGAGCCCGTTTTACTAGCCATGCCACTTTTAACAGGTTAGTAGACCACCTAACCTTGTGCTAAGAGCAAATACTGGATATAAGTTGCTGTTTTCCCAAAAGAAAGACTGAGATAAGTAATGCAAAAGAGCTGATAGAACAATATGGAAATACAAGTAATGAGACTAGGAGATAGGGTAGGTAGTATGCACTAGATATCCCTCAAAGGAAATGAATTGCTTTTTTTTTCCCTATCAGAGTATTTCCAACTAGAAAGTGATACAGAGACACGAAAGAACATTCATGATAAAGCAAGCAGAAGTTGCAGTATGCTGAGAGGAGCCTGGTGTGAGGACACACTGCTGTGTTCTAGGAAGACTAAAACACTGTCCTCATCTCATTGCCTTGGTTGTATAATACACAAGCTACTTTTCTTTGTGGGCAATGCCAGGTAAAGCAGTGAATTGTACCTGCTTGAAGGAAACCTCCACTTCCAGGCCCCTTCTTCACTCACACAGTAGACCCAGCCCTGCTTGGCGCCTACAAGATAACTGCCTTTCTGGCTTTGCCTTGTAGGGATTATTCTGAGTAGGTTTCAATGGCAGGTGGATCAGTTGCTAATTTAAGGTGGGCCTTAAAATTTAGTAAATACCCTAATCTGAAGAAGAGAAGGGGTCTTCCAGGCATTCAAACCAACCATCATAGTGGTGGACTTAGAACAGTTTGCCTAGTGGTTATGGGGTAAGTCAGTTACCTGGGTACCTGAGACTTGCTATACAGAAATACTAACCATCAAAAATCTTGGCTTCCCAGTGAGAAACTTCCTGAAGTACTTAATATGGAATCCCTACCCCAAGTCCACAGTGAGGGACCCTCCAGTGCTGAAGGGAAGGACATTGCCTGCAGTCCTCCAGTATACCCTGCTGGAATTCTGCTTGTGTGCAACAACTGTGCTGCTTACCGCAAGCTACTGGAAACACAGACCCCCAATGTACGCAAGTGGGCCCTCCGTCGACAGAATGAACCTTTGGAAGTACGGCTACAACGACTTGAACGAGAACGCACAGCCAAGAAGAGTCGGCGGGACAATGAGACCCCAGAGGAGCGGGAGGTAAGACGCATGAGGGACCGTGAAGCCAAGCGCCTGCAACGCATGCAGGAGACAGATGAGCAGCGAGCTCGCCGACTACAGCGAGACCGTGAGGCCATGAGGCTGAAACGGGCCAATGAAACCCCAGAGAAGCGGCAGGCCCGACTCATCCGAGAGCGAGAGGCTAAGAGGCTCAAGAGGAGACTGGAGAAAATGGACATGATGTTGCGAGCTCAGTTTGGTCAGGACCCTTCTGCCATGGCAGCATTAGCAGCTGAAATGAACTTTTTCCAGTTGCCTGTGAGTGGGGTAGAGTTGGACAGCCAGCTTCTGGGGAAAATGGCCTTTGAAGAACAGAACAACAGCTCTCTGCACTGAACCACAACCTCTTGCCTGACCTCCCATCCACTCCAGCCCACAGGGATCAGTGCTGCTGTCACCCAGGAGGCCACAGTCCTTGCTGCCACAGGCAGGCCCGGGTTGGTTGCAGGGAAACCTGTGCACTCTCTGCCTGTGGGACCATGATGGGGTCAGGATGGACCCAGCTCAAGGCAGCTCTGGACAAGGGAGCAGGCACTCCAGAAACCTGGACTCCTTAGCCCATTGTGGCAGGCCAGGGTTATGGGACTGTAGGACCCCAGTACAGTCCATGAAGCTGTGAGGGCAAATAAATTAATTTTATCTTTACTGGCCCTTGGCTCTTTTGTCTCATTTGTGTTTCATCCAGTGAGGTGTGCTAGAACTTGATGGGAATTTTCAGCTAGTGACTTCTGGTGGCTTGTTTTCTGAGACAGAATGCTCTTCAACTTAAGGCTATCTGAGCAGAGGACTATAGATCAGATCAAGTCAACTGTGATAAAGACCAAGAGCAGAAAAACATTCACTCTTGCAGTTTGGCTACCATGCTATGAAGGAGATGAGAGCTGCTCATTTCTGTTTCTGTGCTGGTACAAGAACAAGCATAGAACTTTCCTAAGCTTGCATCAAAGGTTATGTACAGTCTGGATATTTATAGATCTTGAGGTCCAGAAGGATGTGCCCTAGTTAGATTGCTGCCAGAAAAATAGCTATGCCAGGAATGTGAACCTCTTCCAATATAACAGACATCTGGACTCCTCTCCCACCTCTGTAGGTCTAAGGCTGTTTAAAAGTATCAAATGACTCTCAGCAAACTAGGATTAAGTACTACCTGACCAGCTGGAAAGTACCCATAAGAATTACATTGAAAAGAAATGAAGTACTTAATTGATCCAAATGCCTTCCACATAGTTCAGTATTTCAAATAACTGGATGCACTCTGTCCCAAGGAATACTTTGGTACTTTACATTGGCTTATCCAATTATTTCCACAATATTCTGAATTAGTACAGATTCAGGAACTGAAACCTTAGCTCAGTTGTTGTTTGCCTAACAGGCTGGAGGCCCAGGTTTGATCCCCACCATTGCAAAAAACAACTAACCAAAACCACACAACAAGCTAGGTAGGGCAATGCATGCCTTTTATCCCAGCACTTGGGAGACACAAACAGGTATATCTCAGAGTCTGAGGCCAGCCTGACCTACATAGTGAGTTCCAGGATAGCCAAGGCTCTATAGAGAGACCCTGTCTCAAAAACCACAACCAAAAACCCACTGTACCATTATTGTGTAATTTCAGCCAGTTCTTTAATTCCTGTCACAAAATGGTAGTAATAATAGCAATAGATGATTGATAATGCACTTAGGATAGTTTGTGGTACACGGTAAATAAACGCACTTGAGTGTTTCACCACTTAACTGGTGGCAAACTTTCTAAGTCAGAAGCAGTGGCTATGATTGGGGTTACTTCAGCAATGTGTGGCAGTATGCCAGAGTAAAGAACTGGTAGAAAGGCCAGCAGCAAGGACATCTATAGGTCCTACTGATTGATTCTGCCAACCTTAGTCTACAGGTAGACTTCCCAAACTCTGAAATCCACCCCAGTGGGACAAACCATGATTCAGGTAGCTCCCACAATTTGCACAGTTTACCAATGACCACACAATCTTTACTCCAAGTGATCCTCCCCAGTAGCCACCCATAAAACTGAGATAGGAAAAAGGCGCAAACACCAAAAGGAAAAGCTAGTAGTTTATATAGATTGATATATAGATATATAGATATTGATATATATTGTGTTTACATAGTCCACAAGTTAAATGCAGGTATCCATAAGAAGAGCATTAACAATAAAAATACAATCTGTGTGTAGCCAAGTACAGAGACTTAAAATGGTAAAACAGCAAAAAGGATCTCACAAAAGTACAAATATACAGTACAAATTGATTTATTTAAAACAGTTACAAAAAAGCACAACAAAATAGAGATTATCCTTAGAATTATTAATGCTTTGTTAAAGATCAGGTAGGATTAGAGGGTAAGAAATGGTATTGGGTGGGAGGAGCACCTGACTAGTTCTAAGGCTTTAGATACAATGCAGTTGATTACATATTAATTCAGCCATTACATACTGGGGATAGTGGTTTGGGGATCAGTAATTTATCTACAGGGAACTCCTACACAAATAAGATCCATCCAGACCTCCCCAGCGCCATCATTCTCTACTCCTTAGGACCCTAAAGCCACCTGGATGATGAAATTCCCATCCTTTCTCCACCCTATTACCTATCCATATATTCTTCCCTCCCCTAAGGTGCTGTGCAAGCTGAGAGCAGTCTGCTCTCTGCAGCTGGAACATATACTGTTTTGGCTACAGGGATCCTGTGTGACTAGGAAGTATGTAGAGGACAGCCGTATTTTAATACTTCAAGTTAGCCATGAGTACGGTCAGTCTCTTCCCCAATCCAATTCACTGAGTGCACATATGAAGCAAATGAGGGGTCCACCCTGCCTTCAGCAATACCAGCAGCTCACCAACCCTCGAAGTTTACAACTACACACCAAGTCCCTGGCAGGGGGTGAGGTGGGCATAAAACCACTGTGTTATGTTCTCTCTCTGAAGTACCTAAGACCCCCTAACATAAAGACAGACTAAACGTTTGCAAGTCTGACATTAGGTAAAGGCACGTGGGCTGTTGCCACACACACTGCAGACAGGAACCTAGTCTGGGGCCATCTTTACTGCTAGGCGTTTGCAGTGGAATGGCTTTGGGATCACACAGACTGTTGAGTTTGCAATCTACTAGGGGAAGATCCTAGGTTTAACAGGAGAACTAATAAAGAAACCTTTAATGTGAAAAGTGCATTTATTACTATTATTCCTGCTGAGGAGGCTCAACAGGGCAAGCCATACCACCTCTCCCTCTGCCCCAGGAACTGTGCATAGTCTGCAGGTAAGGAGAGAATGCAACCAACTTTAGCATCAAGGGCCAATGTTATCCTAGGCCCAGACCAGGCTTTTAGTACAAAGATGGACCCTAGAGTTGAAAAAAACAACTGACAGCTGCAAAGACCCAGATGCTTTTTTTTTTTTTTTTATTGCATAATGTGGGAGACCTTTCCAACCCTGGGGAAGCTAGAAGGTAAAGGCTTCCAAGCAAAGGCTAACAACATCCATCTATAGTAGAATTCAGCTCTCCAACTGTAGTGTATAACATTTCTGATCTAGAAAGTACTATAGCTTCAGTGTAGTTTAGTAAACTTAATCCTAGAAGGTCAACACACCTCTCTAAAACTTGGCCTTTGTCCTGTTTGCTTCTAGGCCTGTGACTTAATCTCCCATGGCCAATTCAATTAATCTGGTTATCTTTACTCCAAAGGCCTGAGCTTTCCCAATGCCTACCATCAACTCCCATCAGTGTGACCACGCAATATGCCTACTCAATGCAGGTTTAAATTATGCCACCATCCCGTTCTCTTAAAATGCCTATGATACCCACTGGTAAAAAGAAAATTAAACACAACTGGAGGAGCTATTACAGCCAAACTTCAAACTCTTTCTCAACCCCAGAATACGGGGCCAGATGAATGGCACTAGGACCCTGGCTCAAGCCCTCACGTGGTTGTTCTTGTTTTGAAATAGGCTATAAAGTACCATAAAGGAGAGAAAAAACAGTCTTTGGTAGGACCTGCTTGTTCCCTCAAGACAGTCAAAGTTTTGGAGCCAATGAGCTCCTGACAGCACTGAAGCCACATCCTTTCAGATCTACCAGCCCAAACACAGCATGCAGATCATCCCTATTCAACATAATAACACTGCAGAACACAGGTAAAAATGCACAGGATGCCTGAACTTAATCTACATGGCCAAGACATAAAGGACAGGAGCAATAATGGGCAACAGGCAGGACAATGAGCAGACAGCAGCAATGGCAAAAGCAGCACAGAGCAAAGCCTATGGTGTTAGAACCAAACCCTAAGTGTACAGAGGGTCAGTCAGCTCTTTTCGGGCCCCTCCCTCAGGCGTCAGCACCCAGCTCTGAGGGCCCAAGCCCCTTCCCCACTTCCTGTCTTGATAGGACAATCTAAATCTTCAGACACTAATTAACCTTTACCAAGTTCCCTTTCTAAATTGGCATATGCACTTCTGTTCAGTTTCAGAACTTTCTCCAAGTTCTGGGAACGTCCTATCACTGTCCAGTCCCCAAAGCTGACAGCTAACCACTGAAATGCTCACTCTAAAAGACACCTCTCTTACACACTTAGGGTAAGGGTAAGCACTGCCATGCATTCTTTTCTAGGGGTGCACATTTCAGGGAAGGTAGTTCCGCTCGGCAAAAGCACATTACAAATGCATGGCACCATATTAAGGGAGTTGCTATCATTACTTTATCAGACAGGGATAGTAAAGGAACCACAGCAGAAAGGTCAGTGCTCAGTTTGCCAAAGTCTGCAACAATTTCTTATTCCAGGATTCAGCAAGCATTACCAGGCTAGAAAGCTACAACTAGTCTGAGTAGAGAATGATTTGACTTCAACTACAGCCAGATGCATGTTGGCCTCACTAGGAAGAAGCTCAGTGGTATCCCTGGTAGACATTTCTTGAGCATCTACAGTGCATGTCACTAAATTCCCATGGTGAACCTTCATGAGGAAAGGGGCTTTTGAGAAATCCATGCATACAATAATCCCTAGGAATGAGTTGTTCATGAAACAGTCAGAGGCCTTCTCCTACAGCTCTCATTTGAGAGAATTCCTCACGACTCAACCCCACAGGCCCCCACTGTAGGAAATAAGCCAGAGAAGCAGCAATCAGAGAATGGGGGCAAGAGAAGGGAAAGGACGTGATCTCCACTGCACACAAGGTTGGTGTCTGACTGACAAACTCTGAGACTAAAGTACTCGTCAGGCTAAGCAGCTTCCTTGGGATGCTACCCTGAAAACTCGCCGCCCAGGTATTTGCTCTCAAGGTCTGAGACAGAATGTAGGTTTTGTAGCATGCCAGCCAGCTTCTGTCACTCTGTTCCCAAGGAGAACAACCTTTAGCACCTGAACACTAAGAATGACTCCATTCTCAGAACTTCCCCTCCCCCAGGAGGTAGGTAAGATTATTTATCCCCATTTGGCAGCTGGGGAGGAAGTGAAAGAGTGAGATCACAAGACTTGCCTTAAGTTTTGCTCATACCTCAGCAGTGTGGGACTCCTGACGACAGGACGGACAGGCCTTGGCCGGTCCAAGTCTATCTGTGAAGGAAATGCCACAATCATACTCTGGGAGACGTTTAACTAGAGAGCTGGGTGGACAATACCCTGAGTTGCCTTCAAGAGTCTAAAG